TATACGCAATGTTTAACTTTATAGGATTTCTTTTTTCACTTTTAAAAGGAATCTATAATACATGCGCTATACACACTCAAGTAAATAGACAAGCAAGTGTAGCACGCATACTATTTGCAGGATTTTTTGGAATTTTTTCATCATCAATAAACAAAATTCTTTAAGACGCACAAATAAAAGAATACAACACAAAAATAGCAACAAGACAGAACACATACGATGAAGAACATAACAATGTAGACATAACGCCATCCATTATTACTAGTCCCACGAAATTTTCGAAATTTAGCAATAACACATAATCCAAATTTTAGACCAACCATATCACAAAGTCCCATTCAACATATAATGACACACCATTCACTAGATGAAAATACATATGAACAAATTATAGAACAACCCCATACCACCGCTTTTCAGTCTCAAAATAATAATTTTTTTAGCCCACGATGAGCCGACAACTTGGATCCCTACACCGCTCAAATTCCCACCCAACCAACCTCAACACTCCAATTACAATAATTCCACTTTTTGCTTTCCCGCCACCCGATTTCCCAACCAATAATGTAACATCAGGCATGAATTCAGACACTAACTCACATATCTCAGTTTTATACTCCATTTCACAACTCAATAACCCAAATATCGAAACCCCCGATGAATTTGCAGACTCTGAACCATCTCCATCCAATAATTTTCAAACCAACTCATCAGTTTTTTCAAAACCCCCTTTTCAACCAATCCCACCAAATAACCCACTCCCATCCATTTCTACACCCTCTTATGCTTCACAAGTCACCCCAACCTACTCTTCATTTCATTCAGACCGATCATCCAATTCTCCAGATACTCCCCAAATCTCCCAGGAACTAGATAATTTTATCACCCTACAACAACAACCCTTCCACCTTGAAAACCCCACTATAAATCAGATTTCATCCACAAAAGAATCATCAAACCCACCTACCCCTACACCCTCTTCAGCTTATACCGCATCATTAGCACCATCATCCACATCCACCGAATCATCAAATAGCACTAATAGAGCTTATCGCACTTTCAAAAGAAAATTCCCGAACCATCCATTCCCGACCAAACCAGGAACAGCCTGCGAATATATTAATCACCCACACCACACCAACACTAAAAATTTTCTAGCAATCACCTTACCCTCATTCCCACAATATACTTTAAACACACCTAACGACACTAACGACACACGTAGTTTTGTAGATGAACATGTTTTAATGCCTACACTTCACTGGACAGCATATTACCATTTTACTAATCCCCTTTGCCTGCCACTATCAAGTACTCATAACGATATAGAAAAGAATAAAGATATGCTATATAGACTCACCGCAACACTAACACCTAGACAATTTACTTATATAGGATATAAAAAATCACTAAAAACATTCACTGCACCCCGAGCTAACGAATTTACTATAGAATATTACGACCATAATATCATTCGAGTTAATCAAGACCAATTTCTAGACGACGAACGCTTCGCTAACCCACAACTAACAGAAAAATTCTTCATCAAAACATCATATGTATTCACACTTAATAGTTTTGATAGAAAATATGATCACATCATTTCTGAAGCACTCAATGATATTCAAGCTTACGAAAGATTTAAAGAAAAATTTCACTTCCTTGCACCACATGAACGCGATTTGCACTGTTCACACGACATTATGTTACGCACTAAACAGACTCATACATATACATACTATCGCTTCATACAAAATCATTTTGATTTACATACTCCGTCAAGACAACCACACCATCGTTTTCAGTTTCTTAACTCAAAGTACACTTCACCATTTTTTCTTAATTTAACCTAATGCATCAAAGATACTAACCTCCACGGCATCCTCCGCAATTATGACCCAGTGACACAAAAGTAGATATTTTGTCCCATCACGAAGACCTTTAACGCCGAAGAATCCAGACCCTTCCTTATCCCACATGATTTATCCAACCTATAGAAATCCCAATATTAAAATTTATTCACAATACTAAATATAATCACAAAACATATAACCTCATTCAAAACACACCTCATGAGTTTGCAGTAGGCACTGAAGAACTAAAAACCATTAAAGCACTTCAATTGCTTTGGCCACTGCTTCAAACTAAAAACATCATACGCATGCTAGCAAAATTACTAACAACTTCGGACATAGTACACGACATCTTTCCCCACGGCTTTTTCCCAGACGATTAACAGGTAAGTATAATTTAAAAATATTCTTAACTAATAAATTTAAATTAGTACTAACCATTCTTAATTCATGTCTCTTTTACATTTTTAGTCTTCATACCACGATCATCTCAAAAAACAGAAAAGAAAAATAAAAAATGAACTTGTTAAAATTCTTCTAAACTTCATTAATATTTTACACAAAGTAATATGATAAAATTCATACCAAATGTAGTAAATTAATTTATAAATTGTTTTCCCATAAAGCAGTAAATTATTACGATGAAAATTTATAACTTTAAATTTCCCCCAAAACTAGCAGTAAAATTGAAATTCTATGTAATAAATTGAAAATGCAGTACTAACTTTTTGATATTTTCATTCACTCGCACAGGAATTCTATCCAAACTCGCACAGCTCGCCCACGAAGAATTGTTTAAATAATGATTTTAAGTTTCAAGTTTTCACACTCAACAACTCTAACAAACGATAACAAGTTTCAAACTTTCCTTTAACCCGGTTGCAAAGGAATTATATACTAAACCAAACTAATCAACGCAGCTTACTAACCACCACAAATCATAAAAGAACAGCATGACTAAGAAAAAGAAAACCAACGGTACCCAAACCGGATTAACCTAGTTTAAGACTGGATAATTTATTCTTTTGAAGACTATTATAAAGTCTAAGAAAGAAATAATAAAACACAAAAAAGTCGCAAGACAAACCCATACCAAAAACAATTTGATTTTTGAAAAAAGGACACAACCAAAGTAACATAAGAAAGACCAACATAAACCCAACTTAAAAAGTTATCACATAACAGGACCTCTCAAAGAAACAGCACGAAATCATACTCCCACTCCTGGCCTAGCCCACCAGAGAGGACGTCCTGAGCATGCTCTATAGCCGGCCTAACCCACCGCGCTACATCCACGCTTTGTGACCACACTTCTGTTTTTAATAAGAGGTACTCAAGGGTGAGTAACTCTTCAAAATAACCGAACTAAAACAAAACGCTTTTGTGAAAACAACTAACTAAATTCATGATTAAAAAACCGAACTAATATGATTTTATAAAATGTAAATCATACCTTGCAGCATTTAGATCAACACACAACAACAAAGACGAACATCCAAAGACAAAATGATCCCATCACACTCGAACAAGAATGGCTAACCACAACCGATATGCCGTCCACAATCACAACTCAAAGGATTTAGAGTACGACTTGACTTCGCAGAAAAGGACTTCATTGAACTAGACCAATGACCACCTCGATGTTCAAGTATACGTACAGATCCGAGTTACGAGGCTTCCCTTCCACACACGATCTCCACGCCATTCCCAGACGAGGTTGAACACAAAACAAGTTCTCTACATAATACAGAAAAACCCGTCATAGCAAACCATTTTGAAATCAGATTGATTTCATTGGGGAACACAGTCGTTGTCACAAGACGACCCAACGATTGATATCCCTAACTCCAGCGTCCTGGAACTTCTTTAACAAGAAGAACCGGACAAGAGTATGATGTTCGCCAAATACCAACGTTCATCATCCATCCTTTAAATTGCAGAAAGATAATTCTAAAAAACTCTGTAAAACCCGGATGGGTGGAACCTGATCTAAGCTATATTTTATGATTGGATAAATTAGATATTTTACCACTGTAAAGTATTTAATATTAACCAATCATGATCCATCTAACTAACAACCCACTTATTTGTAAGTGCTGAAATTACTTGTAATTTCAGCACCAGAGAGATTTGAATTTAACTTAGAAATTAGTTGTCTCTCCAAGAGAACTTCAGCAGCCGCAACAAACCAGTATACCCTAGATCTATTGAGCCTAGCAGAGATTAGTTAAACACCCTGAGACTAGAAAGTATAAGAGTAAGATTAGGATCGGTATTAGACTAAGAAGTTGCACGAATCTATCCGGCCGAAAATAAGATAGCGTGACGAGCAGACGGTGTACCCTATCCGAAATTACTCTATGAGTTAACCACATCGGCCATAACTCATTAGGGCCTTTTGGAAATCAGAAACTTCAAAAAATCCAAATTTTAAAAGATTTTGTTTTCGTTTTTCTAATCGTTTTTTACTAAATAGTTTTTCAATTTGTTTTTTTTTCTATGACTGTCATTTAAACCTAATCTCTTAGTTTTTCGTTCAGCTGCTTTTATCACACCACGCCGAAAAAACGACACCAATTTGAAAAAAAAAACTTTTTTTGTTTTATTTTCTAAAACTATGGTCGAAACACTCTGTGCTACTTGCGTAGTAACCTTCTATCCATGTTTATATATGTTAATCGTTTATGTCATTACACTGTGGCCTTACTCGGAGCGTATTTTGGTCATTTTTCTATGGTAAGCAGTAAAACATTGCAACAGACAGAAACAGTTAAAACAGACAACTGCCGTTCTCAGAATGTTTTCACATGCAAACACGATTTTGCAGACAGCTTCGAATCAAGCTGGTTTGAAGTTTGAACCTTGCAGGCAAAATTGTTCAGAAATGGTAGATTACTCTTTTCAACTATTTTTGCATGTTCCAAATTTTTGCAATTCCATCTTTTTCATATCTATTTGTGTTATATTTTAGCAAAAAGTATGAATTTGTATGATTAGTATTTTTTCATAGACTTAGTTTATGGAATTGTATGATTAGCATTTTTGGTCTATAGAGGTCAACCCGGGATGATGAAAAACCTCTCAGTCAATAATGATGCTAAGAATCCTGGGCTCTCAATTTTAATAAAACTGCATTCACAATCTTACCGAGATTTCCGATGTTGAACATGTTTATACGATGCCAATTTTCACGGATCAAATGACTAAATTGCTCTTCGTTTTCCTTCTGCAAGACAGCTTCTGCTTCCAAATGGGCTATTCGAGCAGGATCTTCATAATCATGTTCAGTGAAATCATCATCATTAAACGCTGTTCTGTACCCAAAAAGGCAGTAGTACGGACTAAACAGAACGTTAAAATAGTTAAAAACGTTCATCAAGGACAACAATGCCGTACCCAGCGGATTTTCTGTACAATATATGAAATTTTTTAATTCTTACATAAGTTGATTCTCAAATGAGAAAATTTTTATTTGAAATGAAAATTTTTGTTTCAGGTTTCGATAAGTTTTTGAAATAACCCTGAAATCCGAGTTGTAGATCTGAAATTAGATGTGAGAAATTCTTTGATAAATTACAATATATGCATTTCGAGCAAACAATTGAGGTTTTATACATTTGTATTTTACATTTGTATTTATATTAATTAGCGGTAAAAAAACAATTCCACAAACAAATTTTTTCTTAATTGAATTTTTTGTTCGGCTGATTTTAAAATTTTTGCAAAAAATTGTTAAAATACCCGCACTGAAGTTTCATGGATAATAATCGATTATATTGGATTTTCATTGTCAGTCTTTTTAAAATAACAAAAGTAATCGATTATAATTGATTAAAAATATATTATAATGATATATATTTTTTAAGTAATAATAATTCCAATATAATCGATTATAATCGGTTACAATCGATTATTTTCAACTTATTTTCAAAAAATTTTATCAAAAGAAAACTAATCAGTTTCAATCGATTAAAATGGATTAAAATCCATTTATTAACATCTTTCGATGTGAGGTTTTCATTTTTTCATAATAACATTAAACTTAAGTTAGTGATTCTGTTCTCTCGCTAAATTTTAACTCTTTCCTATTTTCAATCGCGTTCGAGGAAATTTTTTAAAAATCACGCTTTCTTTTGTGATTTTTTTACCCCACAACAACCCCCGATACACCACTCCAACCCCCCCCCCCCCCCCCCCCCCCAAGCATCACCATCTGATAGGTAATTATGTAGTATGGGTAACCGTGTGGGGGGGGGGGGGGGGGGGAGATGCGGGTGTCGTGAGGCAGACCCCACACCAACCCACCCCCATACCGCCCCTCGCGTTCACACTAGATGAACGTGTTTGTTCGAGTTTTGCAGAAATTTGCAATAAGTAGTGTCATTATTTACAAAACTATTCATTTTTCATGGTTTTCATGTACAAAAAATAATAATTATTTTGAAAACAAAAATAGATTATAACCGATTATAATGGATTTTAAAGAATTTTTTTTATCTTTCAAAAAGAATTGATTAAAATGGATTAAAAATCTATTAAGTTGTATAAATTTGCCATGATTGTCGATTAAATAGGCAGCATTTCAGTCATCAAAATCCATTATAATCGGTTTTTATCCATGAAACTTCGGTTTTCAATGTTTATCTCATCTTTGGGAAACAAATTTTAGTAGTCTCCATTGTGAGATCTTCCTGAGTACCTTCTAGTAGATAGCAAAAGCTATTTAGAACAAAAAAGACCTAAAATAGCGAAAAATGTGTCAGAACCTTTGATTTTTCATATCTGAAATAACCAAGAAAAACAAAATTTCAGATCTGAAATTAGATTTGAACAAACGCATTCTGAAAGTATCCAAGGGTTACTTTGATATTTCAAAACCCATTTCTGATCTGAAATTTATATCTGAAAAAGATTTTTTTAAGATCTGAATTAGAGCATTTACTAGGTTTGGGCTCGAAGACTAAATTTCAATTCGCTAACGTAATTTTGCAGGCCAACAACAATTCAACGCACATTAAAAAATTATTTTATAACACTTTGATAATCAATCAGAAACTCACTAACCTGTTTTCTGTTTTGCTTTTATTACAAAAAATTTGCGTATCATAAAATAACTTTATAAATCTATACATCTATAAATAATTTTAAGCATCAATTTGAAATGTTCTTGAGGAATTCTTGCGTAAACTCGAATTGTTGTGGTTGAACAAAGACTCTAATTGAATGAAACATATGACCGGTTTGAAGTGGTCGAGTTATGCATCAATTGACAAAAGCGACCGACAACTAACTCTCGACACAGGTTTATACAGTGACCCTGCACCGACAATTTCTGGTTTAATTGACTAAAATTTTGTCTATATAACCGATTATCATGGCAAACTTAGACAACGTAATGGATTTTTAATCCATTATAATCAATTTTTCACTAAATTAAAAACTGATCATAACCCATTATAATCGATTAAAAACTATTTTCGATTTTTCAATAATTATTTTTCGATTATTTTTTTGGATAATTTTATTCCTTTTTTGCAGTTTTCTGCGAAAGGCCAGCACGAACGAATATGCACATCCACATAATCACGGTTCACTAGCCCCATGCCTCCCACTATGCTCCCCGTGCCTCTTATCCCGCTACAACTCCTACGCTTCAGCCCCTCCCCTATGTCCCCCACTCACCCAACGCCCCCCCCCCCCCCCCCCTTATGCCCCATACCGCCACGTCTTCTCGCTATGCATCGTCCCCTTTTACACCTCCCCCTTGCGTTTACTCCAACAACCATCAAACACTTTCAACAAACACCCCACGCCCAAGACTATAAAACATCCACCCCACCACCCACTAGAATTAGTAACTTTTGGGTGGGAGTTGATTGTGGGGATATATGGTAATTTGTAGGGTTTGCAAAAAAAATTGAAAAAAAAAATATATCGAAAGTTTGCACGTAATTTATTATAAAACGCAATTGAAATAACAAAAAGTTGCAAAATTAACGAGACCACAAAAAATCTAATTTAGGTTTAAATTTAATATGATCAAATGAAATTGCACACAAATAGAGAAACAAAAATGAATGTATTTCCTTCGATAAAAATGATTATGCTTTGTTTGATAAAACTTTTTTGAAAACAAATTGAAGATAACCGACAATATTTCAATGAAATAGATTTCTTTGCTTCGGAAAAAGTTAATGTTATAATCCATTTCTAATCATCTATAATAAGTTATTTTCAAATTTCAGAAAAACATACTGTAAAAAAGCAACAAAAACTAATTATTTTTCAGAAAAAATACGTGTGGGTTGATTTCAGTTAACCGGGCACAACTCTTAAAATTTGAATTTTCTGAGCAACATTTTCTCTTAAAATTTTGTCTACTCTTGATACAATTTGAAAAAACGCGTTCAAATATTCGAATGTTGTTTGTTCTGTCCAGTTAATTGAAATCAGAAGAGTAAACAGCCATGTGAGGTACAAGTTGCCTTTTTTATTTCAACGAGCAAATCTACTAATTTTTTCTCTAATTAGTTTTAATGGCGTAAAAAAGCGAGTATATCCGAACCAGTTTTGGAGGTGTCCTTGCCACAGATACATCCTCGCAAAGAATATATAGAATTTGAACTATGGTCTCGAAACAACTTGATGAGCTTGACTTTTTCTTCATGCCGTACAACAAAAAACTGGCAAAAAAGGCTTATGCGTGGTTTTCTCCGATCATCGATATGAGGCAACAAAAGAACTGTTTTATTATGTTTTTGGAAAAACTACTGCTCTGAATCTGCGCAGGATTCTCAATAGAAGTTACGCTAGCTCTAAATTTTGTCAATTAGCTCCGTTAGTTAGCTTAGCTCTGAAGTTCTGGTTCCCAAAATCTTTCAATGTCTGTGTCTTTCAAAGTCTGTTTTCAATTCCGGATCAATTAACTATTTGAATCTTTTTGTCTTTCGTTTTTCAGCGGTATTGAGAGTGAATGAAGCTCATCAGATTCCGAAATAGCTATTTTCAGCCCATCATTCAAATTCCACAACTATTACTAATATACTCACTACCTTACGCCGTCAAAGTAAATTTTCTCAGTTTCTGATCCGCTGGCGTTTTGCAAATAACTTAAACTGTTTTTCGTTGAAAATATTTATCTTTTTCTGAAGCCATTGCAGAAAATTCAGCAAAAGCGTGAAAAAAAAAAACGTTCATTTTCTTGTTGAAACGGAAAAGTTTCACCTTTTTATCCTGTGACGGTTTTTCGATCAATCTTACGAGCTGAATAGTTGATGCACTAAGAAGCCACCTAAACCCACTGACCACGGAATCAGTTAATTTTTAGCAGTTAAATTGCAATAATAACTTCGAAAAGACAATAAGAAAAGATTGTAAGAAATAATGGATTTTGTAATGGATTTTGAGATTATATATGAAAGAAAGTTTTGTAGGATCAGTAAAAAATTTTGTTTTCAATGTATTGCGTCGTGTCAATTTGAGTTTGTAACAATTTATGACGGCAAAATTTTTGAAAACAAAAATCAATTTAACGCTCTGAGATTCCATGGAAAATGGAGAAATAGTCGAAATTTTTGGATTAAAGATATAGGAAATATAGTCAATTATAATTACTCTGTAGGACCATGCATTCTATTACTATATTACGAGATATAAAAACAACAGCAATATACAACAACCGCTATGGATGTTAAGCAAAATAATTGGTATATATTTTTTCTGTTTCTCTGAATACATGTTTTTTTTAAACTTTTTAATGGTATAGAATCTGTAGACTTCTGCAAAAATTATAGTTCACGTTGTTTTAAGCGCGTCCTGCTCATTTTCAATTTCTAAACTTACTCACACTTCTATATAAAACTCATATCCTTCTCCCCCCCCCCCCCCCCCCCCCAAAAAAAAAGTCTATTCTCGAATTTTAAAGAACAAAAAAAATTTCATTAAACAAAACAATAGGCAAAACAGCATTTCTTTCCTCTTTCTCAACCTTACTCCCCTACCGTTTTCATATTAAGTAAGAGAAGTAAATACCTGGAAGCGGATATGAAGGTTGAGTTTGTCCTGGAAGCGGATATTTTCACGTTGAGAAGACTAGCCAAAAAGACGTTTTTAAGCATGTATAAAAAATGAATAGAAAAAAAAACAAGAAACTTAGAAGTTAGAAAACACTATTTTAACCTAGTTAAACTTCATTTGAAATAATTTTACGTCTGTTTTGGGAAAACAAAGCTCAGGTTTTGATTTCGTTAAAAACTTTGCACAAGTCAAACTAGTTTTAGAAAAAAAACGACAATTTCCCTTTTTGGTGTTATAAATTTCCCTTCCCGTTATAATCTTTTTAAAATAGATTTGATCGCCTGAAAAAAACCTATAGATTAAAATTCATTTGTGAGCCTTTAATTTAGAGTCTGACTGAAAGTCTCAATATACCACAATATGCAATTACAATTATCCAGAAAAGTCCGGTTCGGATTATAATCGATTATTATCTATAGAACCTATAGAACCACAGTGCGGGTTCGAGTCCAAAATTAAGAAAATCTTAATCCAGCGTGACATTTTTTTCAACATAACAAACAAAAACCAGTAAAATTTAATCAATGTGAACAAAAAAGATGTCATACCTTCTGAGCTGACACCATACAGACTCCTCAACTTCTGGCGGATACACTGGCTGACCTTGGCTCATTCTGATTGGCTGAACGGGCACCACCGGCAGAATAAACACCAAGGAGCCCCAATTTCCAGGAATGTTTTCATAGTAATCCCAAGATATTGTTCTTGTATCATGATCGGGGGTTGATGTCCATGCAAGTAAAATGCCTATCAAACAATATCTGAAGTCCATAGAAAAAAAAGACTATCATACAACTTTCAAAAAAGAAACTTGTATGAAAAGCATTTTTTCGATCAGAAATTTCTTTTTTAGAAAAACATCTTAAATTGGTTTAGAACTCAAACAAAACAAATTGGTGGCATTTGTGATTACATAACAGCAACTTTGGCATCAAAAAAAATTTATTAAACGGAATTCATCTTCCGTCGACTCAATGTGAAAACGTTATTCACCCAGGAAAAATTTTCCAATTCGTTTCAAGTAATTTCTGAAATTTTTAGAAGTTTGAAATTGATTTGAAAAATGTGTGAAAAACAAGCAAAACAAAAAAAATAGATAGTAAGCTTCTAGAAAAATATTGAGGATCTTGAGGATAAGTTTCAGCTGTTTTGTGTTATGCTCTAATTTAGATATTATCTTACCTTACGTTAGATATTAGGTTACATATAATTGAAAACAAACAGAAATATGTTTTTTGAGCTTTTTCCCCCTCTCACTTATTTGAATAGTTGGCGCAAAAACCTTATTTTGCTGCTATTTTGCTCATACTATTTGTAATTCTGAAAGTTAAACGGTTTATATATACGATATCAATTTAACGATATATGCAGCCAATTAGTTAGGACTAGGATTATTTCGGTTGCCTCAACTTTGAATACATTTTGGCAATGCGTGTCGCATCTTCTCCAGCTTTGATCAGAAAAAGTCGCAATTGAACTAAAAAATCAAGCTGTTTCCTTGTTTCTTAAAAAAATCACAGTTTCTAAAAAAAATTTACAGTTTCTTTAAAAACAGTTTCAGGCGTTCGAAGGTTGATATCGTAAATTATTTTAGTTTAATATTTGCAATATTCTGATTAAGTAGCAGCAGGCGAGGTTTTTAATCGTACAAAATCATCAAAATTATCCATTACGAGGCTAAACTGTGCATTCCGTGCATTGTATGCGGATTCCACAACAGACCAAAATCAGATTTGTCGCGGAATCCACATCCTTGCTACTTTTCTTTGATCTTCTTTGCTGTTATGGATTCCGCAAAAAAAACTTAAAACACCGTTCGTCTCAACATCGCTCCAAAAATAGACGTATCTGCGGAATCCAAAACAATTTGTGGAGTCCACAAACAAACAATAAGACATGTGATTGTTAATTTAAGATGTTGCGGAATCCGCAACTATAAGCAGGATCCGCAAGCTTTACGTGGAATCCGCATTTTGTTTGCGGGTTCCGTTTACATATATGTATATATGTAGTGCGTTTAAAATAATATCTTTCATTTATATGATTTGATTTCAATAGACTAGGAATTTACTAAATCAGCGTTTGGGATTAATGGAATCCCAATTACTGACCAGTATTTGGGATCGAAGAAAACCCAAATACTGAACTAGTTCGACGATTTGCTATGCGTTGTGTTTCTAACCACTCTCAACCTAATGAATATCTAATTTATTCCATATTTATTCCATGTTATTCTAAACTTTGGGAATGCATCAATCCCAAATACTGACCAGTATTTAGGATCTATGGATCCCAAGTCTTGACCTAATTTGGTGTATATGCTGTCTGTTGTGTTTCCATTCTCTCTCAACCCAATGACTACAATAACTGAAATTATTCGGCGTTACCCGCACTGACAAAAAGGGATTAAAAAAGTACGCTGATTAAATTTAGATCGATTTTAGTATGAAAAAAGTACAAACATTAAATAAAAATGATAAAGATTTAGTTAAATCGATTTAAAATCGATTTCAATTGATCTTAAATACCAGCTAAAAAAAGATCGAAATAAAATTTAAATTGATTTAAATCCATTCTTTCCAGTCATAATTTGTTTTTATTTTTAAGGTGATTAAAACGGATTTTAATCAATTTAAATCAATTATTTTACACCGAGTTTGATCAGTTTTGAATTTTTAACGCATTTATTCCTTGCCTCTCATTTTAAATTTTTCATCCATAGCGTATTTTAGCTATGAAGAGACCAAACAAAAATGTCTATGAATTCCTTGAATTTTTTGAGTTCAAAAACTGATCTATATTGACCCTTTTCTTGATTCGTTTCATAAAATTTTGCTCGAAACCTGATTTTCTTTTATGATTTTCCCTGATTTTATAATATTGAGATCGAAATTTAACAAAATTAAAATTATTGTGATCCTTTTTTCGTTCTTTACCAGGATTTTGCCCATTATCTGATTTACAATGATTTTCTATGGTTTCATTGGATATTTTCGAGCTTCAAACCTGATTTTTGTGGCTCTTTTTTTGAATTCTATAACATCTGGCCGGTGTGTTTTGATTTCGAAAAAAAATCCAGAACAAAATATTTCAATTATTGATCCTGAAGAGTATGTTTTTTTTAGCAAAAAAATTTAGTTTATTGAGTCTGAAAGTCCGCGCAAATCTTTTTTAAACAGATTTTTAAGACACTTGAATTGATCAAAAATTGTCAAGAAAGATCGATTTAAATCGATTTAAAATGGATTTAAGTGAGATTCGGATGGATTCTAGTGAGTCGGAAAATCCATCTAAATCGAATTAAATCGATTTTTTAGACACTTAAATCGATCTGAATTTTCAAAAAAGATAGATTTAAATCGATTTAATATCCATTTAAATCCGTAAAAAGTACATTGTTAATCAATTTGGCTTGATTTAAAATCGATTTAAAATCAAATTAAATCGATCCGAAACCATTTTCGTCAGTGCGGTTATGCTTCAAAAGTCAGTATTTGGGATTGATACAATCCCAAATTTTGGCCTAATTTGGCAATTGGTGTATTGTTTTTCCATACACTCTCAACTCATTGACTCCAATTATGGAAATTGTTTGGTGTTGTGCTTCCAAAATACTGAAAGATGACATCCACGAAAATAGGTAACCAATGTTTTAAGACTTGTTCGTGGATTCCGCTGACAATGGTTAAGTCCTTGATTTTAAATTCCGCATTGCTAGAGATAAGAATTCCAGCTCTAGCTTTTAATTGTTTCTTTTGCAAGTACAAAATTTAACAAAATTTGGAAGCCACTTACAGTTTGCAGAATCCGATTACATTTGCGGATTCCGCTTACGTTTTGCCGAATCCACATTTTCGCTAGTTGCGGAATCAGCGAAATTGCAAAAGTGCCGACAAAATTTACGTTACACTCATATGTACGCGGAATCCACGGAAGTTTTGTAAGTGGAATTCACTTATATTTTGGAATATGTTCAAAGATTAGTTTTTGGAGTCCAGGAACAAACAGACAGAAGATTGTGCGCCTATCCAGTGCACAAATTGGCCTCGTAATGTCCTTAACATTTCCTAGATCCGATAGAGAATATTAAAAAATGACCCTACCTTTCTGAAGAAAAACAAACAAAGCAAAATTGATGTTCATCTTGAAAGCTAAATATGGATAACAATTCAAAAAACGAATATATTATGGCTTCAACTTTGATAAACTTACTCAATGAAGGTCATAATTCTATTCGATTGAGTTGAGTACTGAACCAACATTTAAAATATTTAAGTTTGTTCTAAAGGTCAAACGTTTAAGTTGAAGTCGTGTTGAAATTGAAATAAATAATCACCTAGTTTTGAAAAGCGATTTCAAAATTTTTCTCGTTAGCAAAAGTCCTCACCTAGTGTTTAACCATCGTCTCTCATATATGTTTTATATCTACTTAGGCAAACTAGAATCAATATTATTAGAAAGGTTTTCCGATTCAAAACAAATCGACGCGTGATGGACCAAGGTAATGAATTATGAATTTGCCGAAAGCGATGAAAAACTAGTTAATTTGTTTTTGTTCCGTCTTTCGTAACAAAAATAAAAAAATATTTGTGCTCGGGTGGTTTTTTTCGGACAAATTTCGATTTTTTAACTAGCCACTTTTGACGGATTTTTTTTAAAATTACAAATCAAAACGTATTGTTGTCCTGAGCTTAAATTTGAAAAGATATTTCACCTGTGATCATTTTTTGCGGGCTTAAAGATTGCCATTTTGGTCAATTTTGGACATTTAACGCGCGATATATTTCGCGCTATGAACGCGTAGGCTAGATTTAATCCTTCTTAGAAATCGTTCCAAATTGGTTGAAGGAAGCTTGTTTGTTATTAATGATATGTTACTAGCAACGAAATCTATTACTTTGTACTTAATATGAAGCATGGGGGGATAATTTTCAAAAAAAATCTCAATTTTTTTTTTCAATTTCTTCTACTACATTCAATTTTTTCCTGTGATTTTTTTGCTCCATAATTCTTAAAAGGCATTCGGAACAAACAGGGCTTCGCCTGGCTACGAGCAGCCTTGTCCGAGTTGAAATTGCATATTTAGAACTACAGACAAAAGTGACAAGATGATATGTATCTCAGTCTGAAAAGCACGTTTGAATTTCTTCCACTACACTACTCTACAATTTTTTCGTCTATAAGCTGTGCAAAATTGAGAAGTTAGCAGCAATACAGTCAGCAGTGAAATAAAATCGAAATTTTTTATGCGAGCAGCAACGCTGTAGCGCTTGAAAAGATGCAGCCAATCAAACAGAAAATTATCTATCTTTCGGTTAACTGACAACGCTTCTCGGAAAGGTGAAAAAAAGCTATTAAAATGAACTTTCGATGTCTAAAAATTTTTCAACACAACCGATTCATATATTACGCTCAGACAACCAAAGGCGATTCGAATCCTTTTTCCGGCAAAAAGTGATCGCATTACAATTCATTTGAAATCCATTATATTGGATGATATAATGAGTAGAAAATCACAACAAAATGGATTTTTTTGTTTCAAGTGTGTGTCTGAAAGGGTGGAAGGCTGCAATCAGAACATTGTGAAAACGAAAAAAAAACGAGAAATCAAGTAATATAGTAACAGTAGAAAAAAAAGTTGCTCAGATAAAAATTGAAATTAAACATTAAGTGACCATATTTAGCTTAAAACGTACAATGCTTTTCGAATACTAGCTGAATAATTCATTTCAATTGATTATAATCTTTTTTTTCTATGGACCATGGTAAGAAACAAAACTGAAATTTAATCAATTTTAATCCAGGGAACTATGCGGGTTGACAGCTTCGGCAAACTGACTTTTCGGCACGTTGAAATGCTGCCATCGGTGCGTACTATAAACATGTTATCAGAAAACTGAATTGCCGTGAGCAAATAATCATCCTGCCCGGGGTTATACAATGGTTAATCAACAAAATCTCATATTATGGCCCAGGCATTTTAAACAGTTGAAAAATTGCAAGAAAAATCTATGGCTAGCGTTTTCTCATATATGATAATTGTATGACTAGTATTTTTTTCATTCTGAATTTATATGGTTGAAAACGAAAATTACAAGACTAAATAGATGAACAAAGTTTTAATTTTGCTTTATTTTTTTTGCTTTTGCGATCAAAGTTGAACAAAAATTGAGTTTCTAAATACTTATTTTCTGTATACGATGAGAAAACTTCTATTTTTTTAAATTAAGTTTTCGTGGTTTCAAGTCATGTTTTCAAGTTTGACCTTTTGTAATCACTTTTTTCATAAAAGACAAAAAGTTATGAAATTAGATTGTTAGTGTAAAATACTGAATCTGTAATTCTATGGATATTAAAACTAGAAATCTTTTTTTTTTGGCCCCACAATTGTTTTATGGCAGAATGCTAGTGATACATTTTCTCTGTATTTTGGTTTTTTGAGTTACATAGGGGTAAGGTGTTAAATAAATAGGGGTAAGGTGTTAATGTATAAATAGAGGTAAGGTGTTAAATAAATTTATTTTGCTATCTTTAAAACACTGCTCTCACACAAGCAATAATTTAACTAATGAATGAAGTTTTTTGAGATATTTGTACCAATTAAAGCAATTCAAAACTGCGAGATAAATTGATCAGGTTGATAACATCATTTATTAGTTATATGACCTTAAGTTGTGAAAAAAAGAAGAAAAAAAACGTTTTCCACAGTTCCCTAAAAACATTGTTGATATAAAGTTTTTTTTTGAACTTGACTGGAAGTGACAGTGAACTTGGTAGCAACCATTAGCTACTATCAACCTATTTTGAAATTTTCTCTAAAAAAGGGAGAGGAAGTTACAAAAACAAAATAAAAATCAAAAAAGCAAAAAAACCACACCAAGCCAAAAATGGAAAACAAGGAGCATCAGAAGAGAATAAATTAACATCTTTACTAGATATAATCCCACAGACGTATAAAAAGATTAGGATTTCTCTTAAAATATGTTAACGACTAAAATTTTTCTGATGAAGTGGTTTTCTGTTCAGCTTTTTCAAAAAAAATGAAAGTAATTGAAAGCGTCTGAATTTCTAAAAATAGTTTCTAATGCCCTTTCTAAACACAAACGCATGCCTTTAGAAATCAATAGCTTGGTTGAAGACTGGGAGTAATTGCAGCCCAAACTTGAAAGTAGAGCTCGCAAAGTACTAGGGTATGATACATTCCGATCATCTCGCACAAAATTTGGTGTGTTTGTACCTTCACGATCAAATGCAGTTATGTTTTGACTTCATCACTAAAAAGATGTGCTCGACTGTTCTCGAACCAAGCAAGATATCTTTTCACGGTACCGTCCAAAAAATTGAGCTGGACTCTTCTCAACCCAACTCATAGCGTGGTCACAATATACCTCAAGACCGATCTTCCCGCGGTAAAACATAGTCAATAAAGCAGCTTTTTAAAGTTTCAACCCCTTTCGACACACTTTACAAAAACCAGACTATTCTTGAATTAGAAAAAAAAACGAAATTCAAACTTTCAAAATTTATCATAATAAAACTTTTGGTTTTTAATTTTAAAAGAAACATGCTTTACCGACTTTGTTTTACCACGGAACGATCGGGCTTGAGGTAGATTTTCACGGCATTAGGCCGAATTTTCATATTGGAACAACCGTGAGCGATCAACCGTAAGGGAACAACTTCAATATGTTTTGATTATTGAACAACTTAAATATCTTTCGAGTTTCGACCCCGCTCGATTTATGTTGTGTTTTTTGGGCCTCGCTCCGAATCCTGTCTCGTTTATTTTTATTTGGTCGAGCGCTGATATTTTGATTGACTATTGACTTCGAAAGTCAAAACAAAGAGGGTCAAACCAACTGCACTTGGGTACAAATTGTAAGACATCCTCAGCCTGTAGGTCATTTGAGTCAGAGTTACCCAAACACCGTTTTGAATCCTTGACCTTTCAGTTTACAGAATTCCCTTGATCTCTTTTTTAAAACCCATTAATTGAACAATGTTTGTGCTGAATCCGATGAAATTTTACAAAATTTACAATTTGGTATCATAATGTACCTCTATATCTAACAAGATCAGTTAGTTAATAAATTATGACCTGAAACAAATATAAAATGCGTCATTAAATCTTGGTAACTTTCGCATTTTCTGACATTTGTTTAGCAATTGTGGGTTATTTGTCTTTCAAGAACCTTGTGATCAATTTCATAGATAGAACGATCGAGTATTAAAGTTATCCTAGTTATCAATTTCCTGGATACTGAATTGATTTATATCAGGAAAAGTGCAGACGGGTAAAACTATGCTGCCAATTTCATTTATTTCTCTGTTGCCAGCAAACTTTCAGCCGAATTTTTTTCCGGAAAAAAATCGGTAGAAAAAAGTACCAACTTGAAAACACCAACTACCATCTATCAGAATTTTATGATGCCCAAAAACTAAGTATAAAACGGGCAACTTTTTTCAAATTTTCCGTTTTTCTTGCACAAATATTTCTAGCCAAAAAATTGAGCTAAACAGGAAAAATGGTTTTCCAGCCAAAAAAACTACTCTAAACTTCAAATCAAATTGGAAGGAAGCGTCTGACAATTTTTTCTTAAGGCTAACATAAACGTTTATCTTCAAGGAGCAGCAAAATAGTGACATATACTTGATGAGCAGAGACTAATACACAGTCAGCAATCTCAAGTTTCAGTTGGTTCTTTGAAATCTGAAACTTTTGAAAGCTAATCTTTTACTGTGCATTGTATCACTTACAACAGAGGGCATTTTTAATGAAAAAATGGCCAAGTCGTTGATCTGGTTTCATTTTTTTGACGTTCCTTCGTTTTTTTAGTTCTAAATGTACCCACTTACAGCCTTGGAAGGAAGCGTAGAACATTTTTCTGCTTGATGCAAATAAAAACATATTGGTTATAGTGACATATAATTATGGTGACATTCAATTGATTAGCAGAGTTTAATAACCTTTTCAGCCATCTCAAGCTTTAATTGCTTATTTCATATCTAACTTTTTTGAAAGTTAGTTTTTAAGGGTGCAAAAAAAAACAGAAGGCGCCTTTTTAAGAAAAATTTGTCAAAAGGCGCCTTCTGGTTTTCAAAATTTTACGTTTCTAAACTTAATCTACGCACTTACAACCATCATCAGTTTTTTGAACAAAATTTGCTCATTTTGAAGTTTTAACTACTAATTTAGTAATATTTTGGATGATTTTTTTCTAATGTTTCAGCAGCACTAAGTTTTACCCGTCTCAAAAGAAAAACGACAACAGTATACACTAATCAAAATGGGCCGTTGTTTCTTCCATCTTCTTCTAACTGGTAAATAAATTTTTTCAGAGCAGTTGATCGAACATTCTTGTGCCAGAATTAAAATAATCAAAACTTTTTCAACGAAAATTAGCTTAAAAAAACAAACAACCTGGAAAAAAGTTTCAGAAACTTTAGAAAACGTTGACTGTTTGAAAGCTTTCGCGCATTCGGTTGCTCGTTGAAGCTTTTCGCGCATTCTTTTTGTGCCAGCTTAAACTCAATGCAATTTTGATTCCAAAACATTTTAGATTTGCTACAGAAACTAATGATACTATAACATGAAACGAAGCCATTTAACACAATGAGTACAGTTGATAACACAAAACTAGTAATCCTTGAGTTCTCATTTGATTTTTACAACATTTGATTTGTTAAAAACTTACTTTAAGCAAAATCAACGGTGTATAGTTGCTTGCGTATTTTTTCAGACCCTTTTTTAACTATGACGTTTTTTGGTTTTGGGGTAAAATGTCGATCATTCGGCAATGTCTGAGACTAATGTATGCACTCTTCAAAGCTTGAATCCAATTATGAATGGCAAACATTTTATAGTTTTCTTTTAATGGAAATATTCCGTGAACTATTCCGCAATCAAAACCCCTACAAACTGAATCTAGGTGGACTTCTGGTCATTTTTCATCGCATTATGACTCAATTTATAAAACATAAATTTTCAAATTGACAGTTCAAGATTGATTGGTATCGATATTTTTAAACTAAATTTCAAAACCTGTTAATGGTCAATCGGAAAACTCGCTGCTTTGTTCTGACATACAAGCTGTCTATTTCAACTTTATGAAAATTGCAAGAGCTCAATTTTTATCTTAGCAAAAGTAATTTAAATACTGTGCACAACCAACTTCAAAGCTAAAATTTACAGGGTGTCATTTCAACCTAATCATTTTTTCATTGGAACAGCTCAAAACTCAGGAATCAAAAATCAAAGGTTAAAAAACGTTTGTAATAATTTCAAAAATTAGAAAAAGAGAATTTGTAAAAACTACGAGACGTAGGACCGATCAGAAAAAAACATACAACCAAATTATGAGTCGCGTCAGATTTTTACTAAGTTCTGAAATTACACTTATTCACTAAAGGAGTTTCCATCAGTTTATATTCAATTGAACCCAAAAATTTTGTAAATTATTTTTGTTGTTTTTAGTCTCACTGCAATGTATCCTGCCATCAAGTTCTTCAAATATTGAAATGTTATCATGGAGGCAAGACTCGGCCAAAATTCCAACAAACTGGGGATCTCAGGTTTTTGTGCTCCCAGTGCAGCTAGTTCAGACCGATTGGGCAAGCCATCACTCCAGATCCAGACAATGTTCACTAAAAAAGTATTTTACTTAAACTTATTTCCTACTCATTAATTTTTTTATCATCAGTCTTGTCGAATATTTGATGACTTGGTAGTAATTTTTTTGAAAGATTTTTAATTTGAAATGTGACAAATAAAATAATAACTTTTTTTGTGAAATCTAGCAAGTACTACTGTTTATATGGATACAAAACTGTGTTTGATGAACGCGAACGATCAGTTAACTCCAGTATGGCCGACACGGATAGAGAGATGAAAACGGTGGAGTTCAGCAACATCATCCGACAATGGTGGCGGCAGAATAACATGTTCAACCTGAGAGAAAATGGTAGTCACGATTTTGATATTGACTCTTCATTTTTCATAATATGATAGCATTCTCCCGTTAGTGTCGTAAACACATAAAGTTGAAGACAAAATTACTTTAAAAATTTACAACAACCTAACAATTACGGTATGTTTGCACTTAACTGTATTTTTTGGGGTAAATTTGAGGTAAATTAAGGCTAAATTTACAATAATTAAAAAAAATTTTTAAGGTAACTCAGTTATGGTGATTTTACCTTAAATTTTGTGTGTGTAGAAGAAACCAAATGTCAAAATTGGGTTGCTCTAGTAAGGTGAACTCTTTTTTTCATGTAGTAAATTAATTGAATACAGTTCATTTTTTTAATGAGGCTAAATGACTCCAACTTAATTGAAAAAGACAAAAATGCGCTCAGCAATTGGAAGGTGGATCCGACAAGTTGGACTTACTTTGCCTCAATTTGACCCAAATCCCACCCCAGTGCTCTCGGAAGATGAACTGGTCAGATAAATTGCAAAAAATGTGGATAAAAGGCATCATCCTTTGTTTTTTTTAGCAAGTTCCTTGTAAGATTTGCATTTCATTGACTAGAAAATAACAAGATTTTGAAATCTCCTACTGCTTTTTTTCTCTATTTTTTATTGTTATTGTAAATTAAATGCTTTTCAAGTGTTCTAAGTGTTTTTGAACTAAATCAGATAGTTTCATACTAACACTAGAAAAAAAGTTATTGGCAAAAAATTAACAAATTTGCAAAATAAGATGCTTGCGCAAAAATTATAAATAATAAATCATCAGTGAACTTTCTACAAGGTTCTGGGAAATTTTTTTTGCAAGCCTTGCATTCCTCTTCAAGAATCTTACAAAATACTAGGGTAATTCAACTCCTCGAATGTGATGTACGCTTTTTTTCTATCGTTTTACAAAATGAAAGGTCGATACCTTCTTCTTAACCAATTGCAATCCTCAATTATAAAAAATGAACAATTAAAAAATTGAAACAATTGGCAGCTCTGAAACTTTAGATAGCTGTACCTATTTTGAGCTCGATAAAAGAATAGAATACCAATGAGGCTAAAACCATCACTCGTTTATCTCTCCATGAAAATATTAAATCGATTTATTGAGAGGTGTTTTTCGGTGCCTGTCTTCAGTATTTACACACCTCATAGTCAACCTCATACATATTTTACAATAATTTAATTTTAGATGTCCGTATTAAAAATATATATATAATTTTGGTTCTTGAAAAATCTCATCGTAATGGAATGTTGCCAGACAGTTGATTTTGTTAAAATCTTCTAAAGAAATTATTTGTTTTTCGTTGCCTGAACAAAAATTAATTAAAATTGTTAGTACTACCAATAATTGCTAAGGGGCTAAACCGTTAGGTTGAGATCCAACAGTTGAGTAATGAGAATTTTAACCCTCAGCGCCAGTTCATTAATCTTTATCAATTGTGTTGTCAGTTTATAAAAACTGCAAAAAATTTAAATATAATCCAATAAGAATGAAAAAAATCTAGTATTTTAGGTCAAAATAACCTTTTATAGTAGTTTGTTTGCAAGTATAGAGGAATTTTGTGAGACATTTTGACAGATTTGTGTTAATTTTTGTCTCATTCTCTATTTTGTTTAGTTACTCGTTCAGTTACTTAGTTATTTTTCACAAATCACAATAGATTTTATGTTTTATTTTTTCTATAATTTTTTTTCAAGGCAAATCAGCGTTTCAGTTAGTTTGTTTTACCTCAATCACCATTCCGCCAGTCGCCAAATCGACCCCCCCCCCCCCCCCCCCACCAACCTTCACTCGATTCTCCTCCAATTTCATTGATCAACCTCTCTCACAATCCAACCCCCCCCCCCCGGAGTGGCGTGGCGGGGAGGTAGGTTGATGAACGTGAGCGGGGGATGATGTGGTGTGTTGAACGAGTTGAATAAGATCGTGTTGAATTGGGTTGTGTTTGCATATGGGGTTGGGGTGAACGTATCCATATACAATCCATATTCTGGACAGGTTTTCAAGTCGCGGACAAACTCTGGATAAACCGTATCTCGGATCTCGGTCACGAAGGTCGAAAAATTAGTCGCGGACTGAGTCTGGAAATAGCGTATCTCGGTTGCCATGGTCGAAAAAAACGCGGCATTGTCGAAAAATTAGTCGCTTTAAGACTTTGTGCGAGTCGAAAAAGGGGTTTAGGGTGTCCAAATCTACCATGCTAGTTTTTTACGCATTGATATGTTTGAAATTATACGTTACTTAGATCAAGCTGTTGACGCGACGTAGCAAAATCAAAGGTCGCTTCGTGGTTGAAAACTGGGTCGCGGAATAGTTATAAAATCAGTCGCGGCGTGGTCGAAAAATTAGACGCGGCATGATCGAAAAATTAGACGCGGCGTGGTCGAAAAATTAGACGCGGCATGATCGAAAAATTAGACGCGGCGTGGTCGAAAAATAAGACGCGGCATGATCGAAAAATTAGACGCGGCGTGGTCGAAAAATTAGACGCGGCGTGGTCGAAAAATTAGTCACAGCTTGGTCAAAAAAATAGTCGCGGCATAGTCGAAAAATTAGTTGCGGTATAGTAGAAAAATAAGTCCTAGCGTGGTCGAAAACGGAGTCGCGGTATGACCAAGAAGTTAGCTGCGGCATGGTAAAAAAAATCCTCAGTCGATTTTTTCACCTGCGTCGAGCTCAGTTGAAACATTTTTCTCAAGTCAATTTTCCTGGGCGAATCTAGGTTTTTCTCGAGGGGGCAGCTTATTTTTCAAAAAAAAACCAAAAACTTTTTATAACGCCGGTTGTGAACATATTGCCTCGGTCTGCAAAGTATGGAAATACCAATTTTTTGGTCGCGGTTGCCTGATCAAAAATCCACAACCTCGATACTGGTAAAAATTAATCATTTTCTGGTTTATTTCAGGGGTGGGTATTGGTAGCGTGGAAGAAGAGTGTTGTACTGACCAGTCAATGAAATATAAGTGGTATGGGTATGAAAACAGGAAGATGTCACCCGCAGAATATTTCCTGAAACTCACAGATTATACGACTAACATTAAAGAACTCAATTATATTCAGGTAAGCTAACATCTACGATGCTATTATTGGTTTATAACTAACCCGAGTTGATCGCTCAGAGAAATTTTTTGCACAAAAGCAGCTATCTTATTATTTGATTTAAAATTTTTTCCATTTCCATTGTACTAAAGGTTAGCACCAAATTAGCAATCAGTCAGCCCTTAAAAAACACAGTGGTATTCTGGTGATAAAAAGCAAAAAACTATTTCTGATTTTGACGCACCAAAATACTCAATAAACAGACTTCATAACGTGGCCTGATTCAGTTGATTGAGCATATCTGTTAACTCTGCCCCTCCTAATTTTAGGTAAATGATCCTGTGGGGTTATAAACTGACTTTTTTCTATCATTGAAACAACAATCAGTTACGCTGTTTATTAATTTATAAAATTTCCAGTTTCATGTCTTGTTTTTCACTGAACCCTTAATGGGGAAAGACTTGAAGTATCACAGATTTATCGACGAGATATCACAGGTTTTTGCTGCCCATTTCGGGAAGCAAAAAAAAGTTTCACCGCATCTCTACACTCTGCTACACTCACTTTATTACATCTTTTAGAAACACTTTTCATGTTAATCTACACACAACGCCTCTGACTCGTAAATATTTTTTGTAAATTTTTTGCTTTCGAATGAAAATATGCAATTTTTTCTGGATTTCACAATAAAATTTTTCGATATTCAGTGAAATTTGCGGTGTCAAACTTTCATATCTTAGGAGCGAAACTAGAGTAGAATTTCATGCCAACGCAACAGAGCTTGGCGTGTTAATTATACCATCCTTAATTAGAAATAAAGTAACTTTTTTGAATTAATTTTAGATGCGACTCATTATGATTTCGATTCAAAAAAGCTATATGGGATAAAAAAGAAACAAAAACAGCTGGCTCTTGTCCAGATGAAAAAAAGCAACTTCATCTTTTTGCACTAGCAAATTTAATCATCTTATTTGTTGAAATTGTCCAAAAAAATGTTTTCACGCAAACAAAAAATGTTTTCACGCAAACTAAAGGCTCAAATCATTTTTAATAAATCCCATAGGTCAAATTAATTTATTGAGATTTCTCGAGCAAAAAATTTATTGACCTTTCAATAGGCCAAACCAAAAAAAGTATATTTGATTTTAGGCTGTTTGGGATGCCTCTAGATGTGTAAACGTCATCACTGAAATTGGGTTCGGCAGATACCCTTTTGTCTACGAAGGATTCGAAATCAAAAACTTACCCCTCGTGTTTCCAGAGGTGTTTCAATCCACTCTCTCCTTCCCTGTTGACTTAACTGATATTGAAACCTCCATTAGCTACAATTGGTTCAAGTTTAGAATAATATGTCGCGATCAACCCTGGATTTGCCAGCCATGAAAACAATTGACTTTTACTGAAGCTTCTAAAAAAATAGAATAAAATTTTCAGCTTGAAGTTCAATAGCGTTTTCGAAACTGAATTGAAAAAAAAAAACTAAAATGAAAAAATAATAAGGACGGCGTGGATTTTATTAGTTTTCATCATCACCTTCTGCAAAAAGGTGGAGATTTGATTCGCTAAAAGGTACTAAGTTTTAATATGCTTAATGCTTACAAGTTCAATTCTTTCTTAGAAGGATGAATTTCGTTACAAGTTACCCTAGGGGGGAAGGGCGGTAGGTAACAAGATCTGTCTGACAATTTTTTGTTTAAAAGTCAGGTGATATGTTACAATAGGTGATAATTTGTAATGTTTGAGTAGTGCTTGTTTTATTTATGAGAACTCTTATGCATAAGATAGTCGTTTCTTTTTCATTCAATTGTACCTGCAACTAAGATAAAATTTGTAAGAACTTTTTTCTGCAAGATGATCTTTTGTTCAAAAGTTCAGAGTTAACATTTATTCCGCCAAAAAGTTTGGTTTCCGACTAGATTATAAAAATTGTTAGAAGTAGCACGAAAAATGATCCAGCTAATAAAGCTGAAGCTGCTACCTATTTTAATTTATCAGCAAAAGTCAATCTCATAATCGTTTAAGTTTTTTATGCTTTCCAAATTAGTACTTTTCTAGAGGCGACAGCCTTTTATTTCCACGAAAAGGTTTTAGTTGCTTCTAGTTTTTTACGAGCAAGAAATTGGTTTCTTTTTAGGGTACTTTTCCAAAGATTTTTTTAAGAATGCTGTTTAGCTCGACTCTCGAACACACTTTTTCAAGCTAAACTCTCGAACGATCAGCTTACAAACAACTCAAAGGAGTTGATGGAAAATCAAAATGAAATTAATGAAAAAAAAATCACTTTTTTCAAGTTTACTTTTCGTTTAGAGACTAAAATGCACACGGTGAACGCAAAGTGATTTGATGGAAGAAAAAATTTAAGAAAAAATGTTGTCGAAGATTTTCTGTAGATATCTAGAAAGTCAAATAATGTAAAACACAGAATCGGAGCATTCAGGGAATGTTGCTAACCTTGCACGAGTGTTTAAAATAGTTTTTAGATAGTCTGTCATTATCATATGTACTTGCTACTTTGTGAGTAACAGCGTTACGAACACTAATTTAAATAAAAGAAAACGAGGAAACAACACAAAGTTAGGTCGTTATTTGTTGTTTGCTGTTTCTCTGGGTAAAAAATGAGAAAAAATGTCTGGCTATACAATTACAATAAAAAACCAAGTGTAAAATAATGGAAAAAACTGGTATAAGAGTTCCTTTTTCAAATAGACATCAAAAATTATCAAAATTTTAATATTTGGCAAACATTTTCAAAGATGATTGTTTTTAAAGAGTTTTCAAATTATCAGACATTTATCAAGGCATATATAAACATGCCATTCAGAAGAAATGGGACTTTATCCAGAGAAACGAAAAAAAAACATTTTCTGTGTATTCAGGACTACGCTATGCAGACAAAAAGTTGAAATTTATTTGCAATTTTTTTTGGAAAATGTTTGTCTGAGTACAAAATTCGTTTTGAAGTTGGAAAAAAAACATAAAAAATTTTGAGGCGATTTCAATGTACTCGGAAAATTTTTTGTTGTCGCCATCAAAAATGTGGGAATTGTCTGATAACCATTTTTTTTCCAAAAAAAGAAACAGTTTTTTTTTCATCACCAGACTGCTTTATTTGATTCTGTTTTATAGCCGCAGAAACTAGTTCGAATTTTTTTCAATGAATTTTTGAAATTGTATGAAAATTATATGATTAGCATTTTTCCATACTTTTGATGTGTGGAATTGTATGATAAGCATTTTCGGTTTATGGAGGTCAAACCGGGTACTGCTGATAGAAAATGAACATGTTTTGATTTCTAAGAAGCAATTTACTTGTCTACCCACACAAAAACTCGAAATTACACACAGACATACACACATACCCACGAGAGATATATGGAGACAAAACGAAACGTTGAACAGAAACAAAAACATGCTTAGCCTTCAGTTATAACTGATACACATCAGCCCTTTTATGCACATACTTCAGTGCATAATGCTTTTAGTACTCTTTTATGCACATGCTTTTAGTACTCATATGGCAGTTTGAAGCCAAACTTAAGAAAATTGTATTTTATATCCACCGAGCTCTGCCAGGAGACAGCAGGTGGAACTCCTATCACACTTAGTCATCCTAACGCGCTGTGGAACGAATAGTTATGGGTCGAACAAACATGAACAAAAATTTTATCTAATATTACTTTCATCCAGCACAAAACAGAACATATTTTCCTATCAAAAGGGCTGGAAACTGCCCATTAAGCGTTTTTGGAGCGTTTCTTTCCCAGCCCCATACGATCATCAGTTTTACGAGTGGTTTAACGAAGTTGATTGTTAAAATAAAACATGCTTGCCATGGCCTAATTAGTGCGTATGTCACTTTTCATAACAATCCAACAATATGAACAATTTGGTTTTAAAAAAAGTTTTTAACTGAACACTTTCAGTTAAATAAATTTTTTTTTTACTAAGGATAGTTCAAAAAACGTTCTAAATTCATTCAAATTTCAGCTTGTTCATCTTTTTCTGTGCTCAGTTTGCTTTCAACAATTTCAATAGATAAAGTCTTCTCAGTAACAGCCAGTTAGAATTTTAAATTGCCTGTTATTTCAAGAAAACTTGAAATCCAACACAAACATTGACTTATGTTACCGTTAATGATGCACAACTCTTAAAAAAAGATATAAAAAACAACTCTGGTATTGGCGCAGTGCTCTCACATTCTCATCAAGGAAAAAATAAAACAATAATAATTTTTGCAAACTCAAAAATTTTTACACAAGCAGAACTATGACTCTCTACACTCATGCGAGAACGTACATTCAGGTTAATTACAAAAACTGGAAGCGAATTTTGAAATCCTTGGATCAAAACACCAACAATTTTCTTTTACAGTTCAAAAACCCAGATTATTTCCTTAACACAAAATTAAATCCAACCATTGAGTATATAAACTTCAACTATACTCTGGACAGCAGGAAAAAACCTTGCTTTTCAACATACTCTAAGTACACCAGTAAAACGCCAGTAAAATTATTAAGAAGAAAAGAAAACCGTTCAAATTCGACAAATTTTTTTTTCGAAAGAGACAAAATGTCAACACGCTTAGAATGCAGTTAAGCAAAAAAATCACAGAGACAGCAAACAAATCATCTATTTAAAATGTCAAAAAATTTTATAAAGTAGATCTAACAGGAAAAACACATTTAATCCTATACTATACTTTTCATAGATAAACAACAATACTCAATTTAGAAAAAAACCAGCAATCCTACTAAGAAATGAAACGTTTCCAATATTAGAAAAAAATTTAATAGACACAATAAATCTTGCAGGACCATTAGATACAAACAATAAACAATTAACAAGTTTTTTGCTCTCAAAAATCCTATTAATAATTTTCCCTTAACAAATCAGAAAAAAATTTGCTCAAAAACAAACTAAACTTGCAAAAGCAGGTAATACTAATTTAGGGAACAATACACGACATCGATATTTTTTAGATATAAACAACATATCATTAAATCAAAGTACAAACCTCTTAAAATGTCTTTAATCTGATACTAAATTACCCTGTTTGCCACTAAGTTTAACTTTTGAAGTTTTTTTAATTGCATTAGCTCAGCAAACAAAAAAAGGACATATTACTACAGAAAAAAATTTACAATAAATTCATCAAAAATCGTGCTATCCAAGTCCACCCATTTGGATAAAAGTACTTTGGAATACTTGTCTCATAAGTCAACTACACAAATTTTATCCACATCAAAAAGAAACCGCAGAAAATCAAGATTTTGAAGAGCAAAGTCTATATTTTAATAGTCGAATATCAGTGGCACAAAAGGCACAATGTCACTCTCTTCCGATAAAAATTCATGTTCCCTGGTAATAGTAGACGCATTCACGCATTGTTTTGCCCTATACCATTTCAACATTGTAGTGTTTTTATGCACATACAACACGTTATGAACACTGGATAGCAGAAATCGGATTACCAGAAAGTCTTGTCACTGATATTACGAAACATACCCTATCTGAAATTACTCTATGAGTTAGACCATCCATCCCAACTCATCTGGTGCGACCATAAGTCTCGAATAAGACCTTAAGGAACAAAATAGCTTAGAAATAACCAAAAAAAGATTAGACTTAGACAAAAACATTCCCAAAAATGTTACACGACAATAATTTAATTGAAATGTCTCCACGATTCAATAGATCGGAGCCAATGTACCTGTCGAATGCCTGAACCGTTTACTACCAGAAGATCTACGATGTGTAAAAAATGGAAGCTATAAAACAAAAGCGGTGAATGATCAAAACTTAAATTATTATTTTCACTAGCATAAAATCAGCAAATAACCACAACTTTGGCTTATCACCTTTCACAATTTTTTTACAAAAAGACCAAGTAAACCAAAAATGTTTACAGCAAACGCATCAAAAACACACAATGCTATTGTACTTCATCAAAAGACTCAGGATGTAATAATTTACCCTTTCTTACTCACGATGATGACCATTTTCAGCATGCACATGTTTTAAAATAGCCTTTCTGTGCTCATACGTAATGGATACTGAATAGAGATAAAAAGCACAGAGAAGTATCGAAACGTAGCAAAGAAACTAGTACAAAGACAGAGTCTTCACTCACAAACGAATTCACCTTTTTTATCAATTTCGGATGAGAAAATTGGAAGAATTTTACTCATTCGAATTTTCACAATACACAAAGGAATATCAAAAACATAGCAACCACTAAAACAAGGACCCTACCAAATGGATGACAAACCAACAGACGTAACATATAAAAAAAATAATCGATCAAAACAAAAAACTTTTACAACATAGAAAGCAGCTATTGCCAAATCATCAAAAAGAGTACGCTCTTTGAGAACTAACACAATTATAATCATTCGCAGCAATCCATATTGTTGAGTCACAACCAGATATCAAAAAATTAATCCTAGACAGCTCAATTACCCGAGAACAAACAAAAGCTATATCAACACAAAGAGCACAAACACAGAAACCTAAATATGAACTCCCAACCTAAAGAACAAATCGTGAATTACATGAAAAAAATTTTTCCCGGAATAACAGAAAAATAAAAAAAACGCTAAGAATCTCGG